TTTTGGGGGATTTGCAGCATCTGTGGCTCAAAATCTTTTTCTTTTTTAACAGAACTGTTACAAAATAGTAAATGGACTGTATTTATATAGTGCTTTACTAGTCCCTAAGGACCCCAAAGTGCTTTACATATCCAGTCATCCACCCATTCACACACACATTCACACACTGGTGATGGCTACATTGTAGCCACAGCCACCCAGAGCCCAAATCATGTTGTCTGCTAGCTTTAAGTGAACCTGCAAAGATGCGTTCAGTTTCATTAAATGGTGATTTATTTGCTGATGAACTACGAGCACATCTTCATACACAGTTGCAAAATCACTCACCTGAGTTTTGGCCTGAGTTCTAGAAGAGGTGTCCTATTTCAGCATCACTGGAATTTTTTTTCCTGTGGAAAAGAGAATTTTCCACAGGAACCAAATGTATGGAAACTATTTCACTAAGACAGGCTAATAAAAGCCCCTTGTTACTGAAGGACAAGTATTCCATGTCAGCCACGAAGCTGCAGCGGCAGCAAAGAGGACAGAATGTGCTCATATTTTTGTTTTTAGGTCAGGATCGTTCAGTTGTTGAACCACAGGCAGCTGAGTTCATGGATTTATAGGATCAGTTTTATGAGACTTTTACAAAAGTCTTAAATGCTCAAAGCTCCCCCAGCAAAAAAACAAAAAAAAACAAATGTGAAGAGCTTTGAGCATAATTAGGTATTCATCATTCTTTCTTCCAAGCATTTCTGCATCTTTAAAAAGGCTGACCTATTTTTTTGTCTCTTCCTTTCTCCCTCTGCTCTTTGCCTCCATCTGTCTCTCGCTCTCGTCCTGCTTTCCTCTTGCTTGTGTCGCTGCTGTCGTTGGCACCTGCCTCTGCTTCTTGTCGACCTCTGGCATCCAGATGAGTTGTATGCTCAGAAGCTGAAGTACAAGGCCATTAGCGAGGAGCTGGACCATGCCCTCAATGACATGACATCTCTGTAGAGACATGTTTCGCTCTTTCTCTCTGTCTGCTGTGCCTCTAAATGTTCATCTCCTCTGATCGTATGTGCCTCTGCTCATTTCACTATGCAAAACAATTCATTAAAGCTCGTTTTCTTTCCTAGTTTGCAGCTTTTGTCTGTTGTTTTTTTGTTTGTTTGTTGCCAGTGTGTAAGGAAATTATCAACTGTTTGATGCAAAGTCTCAGCTAACTATATAGGTTACTATGATTTTCTTATTAGGTTATTAACAGTGTGTTTTATGATTAGTTGTTACTCTACGCGTTCATCTGAATATCAGTTTTACAAAGGTGAGCATTTCTGGTTTTAGTGTGGATTAATAGTTTGCAGTCACCTGGGTTTTAATCTACACGCTTTGGTGGTTTCTGATTTGTATGTCCATAAAGTATGCATAGATCTTAATGCCATTTCCACAAGGTGGGATATACGAATGACTTCACTGTGCAGCAAACGAGTCCTTTAAAAAGTCCATCCTGTATGATCCCACTAACAGTCTTCCAGCAGTTTATGCATGAAAGGTACTCTGTAGTGGTTGATTTTTATTTTTTTTTTGCATGTGACACAACTTAACCAAACTAGTTATGCAAAACATCTGCCCAGTAACACCGACCTTTGTGCGTCTTTAAAAAAAGGGGGTGCTGTGTGACAAACCTCACAAAGAGATTACAGTGGCATGAAATGAGCGAGCACTGCTAACTGGTGATTGAGGGTTCACCGTGTCATATTTCTTCTTCTTCTCCCCAGAGAAACTATCACATGCCAAAGAGGAGAATCTGGGCATGCACCAAGTCCTGGACCAGACCCTGCAGGAGCTGAACAGCTTATAAACACACACAGAGGAAGCTGGAGAGGATGAGGTCGTCATTAACATTCCATTAAACGTTCGACTCCATTCCACCTTTCGAGCTGTAAAATCTTCATTCCCCACCTAAAGGGGGATTAACTTAATGCTT